AGTTAAAAACATAAAAGCAAAATAATTCAACCATAATGTTATTTTATAACAAAATCTCACAGCGCCACATGACATAATTAATTATTGACTTTCTTAATTGACGATAGCATGTGTGAATTAGTGGATATCCACTCGTTTGATTACTAGTGATTATTATGTGTATTTGAGTAATCTCCTATCTGTTTGCAATGAATGCGCCACGGAATGGATGTTGTCGGGCGCTAGTTGTTGGTTTTGTGGTTGCTGCATAGGTGTGATATAAGAACAAATTTGGAGATGTCCGGTCATGTGGAGATTGATAGAAATAGTATCGTGATTAGGGGTGATCCTAATGAAGTTTCACCTTAATTTTGTGATAGTACGGTATTAATTCTGGGGTATTTTGATTAGGTTCTTGATCGTTCTGTCAGTTTAGCACTGAAATTGAGTCTTTGGTTTTATACGAGTGAGGTAAGTAAATTTATGGTAATGCCCGTACAGTTTTTAAAAGCATGTTTTAACTTGTTTTTGAAGTGGTGGCGGGACTAAACCTGTTTTACACAAGTATGATCGATTTGAAATGAAATTATTATTCTTTTTATTGATTTGAGCATGCCTGCTTGGAGTTTATTTAATTGCCCTGATGATCTGAAAATTATCTGTAAAGTATGATTTTCTGTTAACTTCTGTTGTTTTGTCTCCGATATGGTTATGTTATTCGTGTGCCCGCTAGTGGGAGGTTTATAAACGCTAGCACATGTCGACATGTTACTGATAGAACCGGTTTGTTTTTGTTATCTTGCTAGTGGGATTATACACTAGTAAATCGTGTGCCTGTCGGTGGGAGGTTTATAACACTGGCCATGACCTGTAAAAGAGACGTCTATTTCGTTCCCGTACTGTATCCGTTTTTCGTGATTGCATTTGTTGGCATGCTATAAGTTTAATAAGGGGCACTCCATATTTACTTACTGAGTTTATCTCATAGTTTTTCCTTGTCCACCATTTCAAGAAGCGAAACTGAGGATGGGGAAACCACGGGAAGTGACGAGTTAGAAGGCTAGCCATTTTGAGATTGATATAGATTTTATAAATAAATCATGCTTTTGTAAGATAGATTTTACCTTGAATTTATGAGATCAAAACAGATTTCGGTCATTAGATCAATTACTTGGATTTAAGTCATTTTGGATTTGAAATAAATTGAGATGTTTGATTTAAGCTATGGAGTGGTATCAAATTGTGATATGATTAAGTTCTGAGCCTTGTTCATTTGTGAGACCTGTCTCACGAGTGCACGGTGTCTGTTGCGCCTCGAATTCGGGTTTTGGGACGTGACACGCCCTTAGTCTTCCCTTTTGCTGCATGCATTTTTGGATGCTGATTAGGCTGGCGATCGTGCTACTTGTGTCTCTATCACTGGTTATATTGTTTTTCTTGGGTCTAATCCTATTTCTTAGCATGCCACAAAACCAAAGGCTATTGCATGTAGCTCTACAAAAGCGGAATACCAAGCCTTAGTTGCCACTGCATCTGAACTTCTCTGGGTTCGCAATTTGCTCTCAGAACTAGGGGTCCTTGTTTCTGCTTCTCTCGATATCTTCTGTGATAAGGTCAATGTCACCTATCTCAATGTGAATCCATGTATCCTTGCATACTCAAACCAGACCCCCATGTATCCTCGCCTCTAATGGAATCCCAATTCCTCCTTAACTGCAATTCTAAAAATTGTAATTGGCTAACAATGCAAGTAATTTAGTAGTAATTTCTTTTTAGTAAAAATAAATTATTTTAAATTTAAGTCGTATAACATATGAATTAGATGTGTTAAAAAATGGGAAACAATTATCTTTTATGTACAATTTAAGATAAGAAAAAAAAACTAATTTTTAAATATCCTTAATAATAATGTAAAGCTAACATTGCAATTTTAGTGCTGTGTTAGGTAAACTACTCTATCTTTTCTTTTATGCAAAACCTAATGTGTTTGGTTGAACATGAACATATATATATATATTTGTGAACCACTCCTTTTTATCTATCTCAGAAAATGAAAATGAATGAGATAGAGCGCACTAAGCAGGGAATGGAATGGATTGAATGAAAGGGAAACGTCAGGGCATTGAGGGACCCTTTTTAGTGAGTTGTGTCATAATCCCCTAGCTATTTGCAATGAATGCACGGGATGGATGTTGTCGGGCCTAGTTGTTGGTTTTGTGATTGTTGTATAGGTGTAGTGGTCAGATATAACATATGTTAACTTACAATTTTGTGGGTTGAATTAAGTACCATGGCTAATAAATTCACCTTTGTATACTGAACAAAAATAACCAAAAAAAAAAAAAAAAAAAGAAAGAAAAAAAAAAGAAAAGAAAAGGGAGGAGCTCTAAGCAGTGACAAGGCTTAGAAGCCAATTCCAGAATTTTTCTTCCATATCAGCAAATTAAATCAGTTTGATGGAAGACCATGTGATGAGGAACGAGAAGAAGCTATTGAATAGTTATTTAGATTATTTAAGATTTTTTAAATAACTATCTTTATTTAAGTGTAGTTATTATTAGTTTACTTTTATTAGGATTAGGTCTTTTATATATTAACAGCCTTAGAAGTCTTTTACTATTTTTATTTATTAAGAATTTAAAGGCCCATTTGGTATAGTGGTTTTGAGGTAGTGGTTAATAGTTTTGTCTAAACCACTAAGTATAAGTGTTTGATAAATTTAAATATTTCAAAACTACTATAAATAAAGTGTTTGGTAAAAATTTTTATTTAGCAGTTTGGGACTAATGGACAACGGTTAGGATCTAAATTGCTAATGGATTAAAAAAACTAGTTTAGGTAGCTTTTTGTATTAAACT